CGGTCATCCTTTGTCTTTTTGGGGCAATGTGGGAAGGGCCTTTTCTATTAATTGTAGGTGCCTTTTGGCCTTATACCTAACTGCGGCCCTCGTGCTGGGCCGATTGAGCACCATTTTGTCCCTTAGGGATTATAAAGTCACACACGCTAGGCTATTGGTTTGTAATTGGAACGGGGACAGGCCTTTGGACTTATGAGGCATACCGCGATGAATGGCCAAGATCTGATTTACGATATGGGGCGAGGGTCGTGTGTCATCGGCTGCGATATTTCGTCGGAGGGTTGTCTTGATCTTGTGGTTCGTGTTTTCTACCAAGTCGCTCCACTGAGACATATGAGAAGTTGTGGTCCGAATAGAGACATGTATGACCAGAGTCTTTAACACTTCGCCGCAAAATTCGGCCCTGTTATCCCTGGCAATCTCCTCCGCATCCTGATGCACTTCGAGGAAACTATTAACTCCTTGTACCATCTCGATCGTCTATGTCGTCCTACAAGGATAGGCCTCGATCCATTTAGAGAAATGATCAACAAAATGAGAAGTATTGGATATTTACAACTATTAGGTGCAAATGGCATAACTATATCTGTGGTGTCCATGCTAACACGTAGGAACGGTCGTTCGACTGCAGTTGGGATGCCAGAGCGTGGTGGCTGAACTTGGTCTTATCAACCGAACAAACCGGACGATTTATGACAATGTAATTATCGCCGTCTCAGATACTAGATAAAACCCATTCATTCCTCAATGATTCGTGTCAATTTCCGACTCTATAATCATGGCAACAAAATGGGCGGCCTTTCCTCATGGGCGGACTTCACCCAATCATATCGAACAAAAGGGTGGGGTGCAACCATACAAATGCATGTCCCATCAATCTGTTTTTTTTCTAGCCTACCCTCCATCCATCTATAACCTCCTGCCCGTTTGTTGGCCCTTCTGTGATCTTCCTCTGAGTACTGATGGAGGGGGTTCCCTATAACTGTCGCAATCAAGATAATGTCAGTCCAAACCTCAACGCGATGAAATCTTCGCGTCTTCTCCAACCCTTCTGACATGGCCTCAAGGAACCGGGGCTCGGTAGGAATTCCGTTGGAAAAAAAAAAAAAAAGGAATTCCGTTGGTTTGGCAAAGGGGGCATAGGCGACTTTTGACTGTTCCTGTACTGAATGCATGACCCGTGGGCTTGCGAGACACAGTTAGCACAATTCACCCAATCAACATATCCATAAGGGGCGCATAGACACCGAATAGACCCTTCAGATTGCCTCACAAAAATAGCAAAACTAATCGGGGAGGGGAGGGAGTCATGATTGCCCCTGCCAACGGGTGCCATGTTGCCACATTTCACTCCTTCCTGGCTCACGGAAGAGTTTTAACTTCTTCGTATGCGAGTCCCTTGGGAGGCTCGGGGTCCTTCCACGTAATCACTTCCTTGTTCTTGGGCACCTTCCTTGGCTTATGCAGTCTTGTTAATCTGTCCGCGTTATAATGTCGCTCCATCTTTTGATGGACAATGTCGAAATGGTACTCTTGCACCCTCACCGCGTGCCTTCCTATCATACCCGTGTAGTTCATGAGCTTCTAGGGAGCCAGTAGGGGCTCATGGTCGGTGACGGGTATAAATTTCCATACGTACAAATATGGATGGAAGTGTTGGATGCCCCAGACCACCACGCATCTCTGCCCTTGAGGAATGGAGTCGTTCCTTCTCTGGTCGGGCACTGTTCGAGACACGTACTCGATGGCCTGTTCCTTGTCGTCGTTTCCCCGCTGCGCTAGGATTGCAAATATAACCTTCGGTTGCCAGTTTGTAATAAGGATGTCCGGCTTCTGCGGATCGAGCCGAATCATAATGGAGGTTGAGACCAAGGCCTCCTTTAATGTTACGAAGGCCCGATCACACCCTGCGTCCCAATGCAGCAGCTGGTCCTTTTTTTTAGGGGTCGTGCGGTCGCCCCGAAGTCCTTGCTAAATCTATGGCAGTGCGACGCCAAGCCCAAAAAGGCCCAGAAATGTACCAGCCACCAAGGTGTAGGTGCATCCTGAATTGCTTCGACCTTCCATGGGTCCGACCTCAAACCTCCACGTGTCACAATGTACCCAAAAAAACAAGATTTTCTTGGGGAAAAACTCGCTCTTTTCCTACGCTATCTCCAACCCACTTCCTGCAAGGCACTCAAGGTTCATTTGATATGTTGGGCATGACCGCGAAACGAGCTCGAGTACACTAGGATGTTCTCCATGTACACAATGACACAAAAGTTGATCATGCTTTGTGTCAGGTTGGTTTTGTTAACGAAGTTCTGGAAGGTGACATTCATCACCCTCCGGAACATAGGCGGAGTGTTGCAAATCCCCATGGGACACCTCACCCACTGCCACGTACCCGCAAACAAAACAAAGGCCGTTTTTGGCCGGTCTTCCTTTTAACCTGAATGTGATGGAACCCGTGGCGGATATCAAATTTTACCATAATAATAAGCATAACCGATTGCATTCAACAGGTCGTCAATCCTCTGGAGGAGGTAAACATCCTTAATCATGATATTGTTCAACTTTCGATAATCGATGCATATATGGATCGACCCATTCTTTTTTGGAACAAGCACAACAGGAAAAGATGACGGCCCAGTGGCTGGTTCGATCCACGCTGTTCTTTCAGCGAGGGAGTACAGGTAAGGTTTGCAGTGAATGGCTGGATGA